GACGAGTGGCAATAACTGTCCTTACCAGCAGGCAGCGGTAGCAGTGCGGGACACACCAAATTGAGTTTGGGCGACAGGGCACGATTCGTCGTCCGACTAACGAAAACGGCCGATTATCGGCGCGCGACGATGAGCGTCGACACGCCCTACTCAGATTGGTGTGTCCCGCACCGTCGGGTCTTTTCAGCCGGGCCGACGCCTTTTGGCCGAAAACCCGCCGATTCAACATCGGCGGGCAGTCGGCCAAAGACAGTCGACAAAATAAATCACTCTGATTGGCTGTCCAGCTAGCGAATCAGTGCATGAGAAGCGAAACGGAACTATTAAGAAGGCAAATCTATTAAGAAGGCAAATCTGAGATTTCATTGAACTACAGCTCTCGACACAGGTTCGGGAAAGCCCCATGAGCTTCTCGTTGTAGAGTGAAAATGGAACGCACACGCTATTTGTTGTTTGTTTATATCACGCAGTCTGTTCTTCTTCTCTCTGTGTATACGCAGTCTTCTGGTTGTTGCCTCTTTTGAATGATGAATACACACTACCGCCGCCTGCCGGTAAGGAGAGTTATTGCCACTCACGCATGCGCAGTTCCTACGTACTTCTTGGCCGTCGGCTGAAGTCTTTGCAGGGTGTTCCAGTGCGACACATGGCCAAAACGCAGAGACGCGAGGCGACGCAACTGTCGGGGTCCGTCTGTATCAGTCCTTTGTTGTCAGATTGGTGTGTCCGGGCCTTAAGATTAACCAGTGGATGCTTTCTCGTCCCACTCTTGCCTATAATCCTAAACTTCAGACCTGCATATGAATTCTTGTTTTCACAACATCCTAATGGTAGAAAATGCCTTACTCCATTCATTCAACCATACCTCTGGTTTAATTGTTCAATATACTATGCCATAATTATGGACAGTCGATTATGGTACATTCTCTAAACTGGTCTACAAATGCAATGCAATTGCCACAAGACCATACTGGTGTACAGTATACTTTATGCATGATTTTAAAATGATACTACTCAACTTTTCTGGATTTATTTTTGATTAAAATTAAGCTCTTATTGTTTTGTTTTTTTGTGACTGTGGAATGTTCAAGCCTGTGGCCGAAGCACAATTTAATAACAGCCAGGAGAAGTACGGCCACATGTAATAAGCACTTTTCCTTGGACACTTGTATCAATTCCCTATTCCTACAGTTAAATTAAGAATGCATATCACTTGTTTTTGCTTTGCCCTTTTAGAATATTTAGTAATGAAACTAGAAGCTCCCGAGTAAAACTGCATTATTTATCTGCATTTGCTGCTTACGTTATGGAAGGTGCCCCTTGTGGTTACTATGGAATAACTGCTTTCTTTTGGTGATCCTTATTTTTATTTTTAATATAATCAATCCTTTAAAATCATTGATATTACACCTGTGATAGGGACATATTTTGCGCATCTTGCAATAGATAAACCAAAACAAAATGTCCATTCATTTTCAGGTTTGATCTATGCCTTTCTGCCCATGAATCACCTCTTGTTTATGTTTACAACCTATTTCAAATGTGTTTGTGTTGCCCTTTGACACTTTCTGTTTAGAATCATTTGAAATGCCATTCTAACCTGACTGACCACACTGACATTTCTTCATAAAATGGCCACACTTGTTTAATTTGGCATTTAGCTAAGCAGAATGAAGTGCTCTCATGCTGCTTGGTGTCAAAGTTGTACTCGCTCTTTATTAGGGTTTTATGTTTCTCCCAAAGTTGAATAATGAACAGTTGTTTTAACTTTTGTATTCAAACGTCTGCCTCCTCACATGCTAACTGAATTGCCTTCGACCACTATTGTCAGTCCACATCTATACAAGACAATGAGCTTCTGCTTCCAGTCCTTTTGTATTCAGGATATCGAGACATTGTAAGCACATGGCTGGCTGCATTTGTGTGTCCTGAATTAATTTAGAAGTTTGATTGTATGACTTTAACACATTTCTGTAGCCTTTCCGCTGCCATGTGGATTCTCGCTTCTTATTCCGACAAAGATAAGGAAAATGTTTATCAGACCCCTGGCTTCAATAAAACCAAGAATCCAAACTTTGGTGGACCTTCCCATTTTTGCATTTAATTGTACAATGTATGTTGATTTGATTGATGTTAATTACCTGACAACCCCTAACGCCACCCCTCACACTCTCAAAAAAATTTGGCATTAATGGAAACTATGGTAACTGTTGCTCCATCAGAAAAATAATTTACATTTCTAAAAGTGCAAGATTGTTTACTATTGAACTTTTAATGTCTTAAAATTGTTAAAATACAAATTCAAATCACCTATTGTTGCTTTGCTGCTAAATATCATAATTATACTACAGTAATAATGTATTCTACCAGAATCGTGCTGTGCATGTTAAATATCATACTCTTTCTGATGGGACTCCTATAGAGATTATTTCTTTAATACGATTTATTTAAACAAACTTGTTTAGTCATAGTCATCCTTTTTTAATTGAACTGCTTATATTCATCCTACTACTCCAAAGTCCCCTCGTTGAAGCCAACATTCCACATGTTATTGGCCGAGGAATTACTAGAAAAACACAGTGTAAGGGTCGGTTTGCACATTTCTGTTTTACATTAGATCAGAGTCTTGAATCATTGTTGTCGCCCAGCATGGCCACTTTAAGACTGAACTGTACTGTTGGATTTCAAGTATCAGATATGCAGCATCTCTAGCCCATTATCACCTACACAGCTATCAATACCACAGCCTTCCATACGAGGGCAGCGAAACACGGTTTACTTAATTTTAAATGAGATCTTTTCCTGAATTCTGAAAGTTTATTTGACATGACATCTGATAGAAATCCAGGATGTTTGCTGTCACACATCTGTTAATCAATTCATCTATTTCTTGCTAGGGCTGTTTTCTTTCATTTGGATGAAGAATACAGTAACATCTATTTAGTTTTTTATAATTTGATATTTGAGGATTTGTTTTAAAATAACAATAGGCTTTGAAAGATAATACAGCCAACTCTTCCAGGATCATTGTAGGCATAGGCTCATTAAAGACAGTAAAAACTCCATAATGCTTTCTGACTGCAACCCTCAGGAGAATATAGACATAATTGTATCAGACCTAGCTGCAGGCGTATACTGACGGTGAGAAAGGACCACTGCAAGAACCAGAAGAAGAGCGGCATAGCTCCGTCCTGTCGGCGTGGTCCGGCTGGATTCGTTTTGCAGGCTGGCTGTTAGGGAATACTTAAAACTGGCGCAGAGCCTACACAAGAATGTGCCGTTTTCAGAGGGGCGGAGACAAGCTTGCCTTGCATCCATAGTGAGGAAAGCAGCGTAAAGGCAGCCTCACTGTAGGCTGCTGCAGGGACTTGCATAAGTTTACAATAGGGAACACAAAGCTTCTCTCTCGGTTCTTCCCGGCCATAATGGGCGGATGTTTTTCGGTCCCTCAGACGAGTCACACAGCCCGGTAGGCATTTGTGTCCCGATGCAATGCTGCTGAACTAACCAGAATCGTCCACGCTGGAGTGACACTGGGACTCGAACAAGTGACCCGCCTAACATAGTTAGAAGTGCGGCTATTTTGGAGAGACGCAACATTGTACCCAGGAGGAATCGGCGCATGGTCACATCCACGGACCCCAGCCTTATATTTCTGCGCGTGATATTGCCGAGCACCCTCCGCGGCTGCTTCCCCGTGGGGTGGCTCTGAAAAGTGGACAGTCTGGTTTGTTTTCTCCATCCACTTCGAACCTGCATGGAACAAAGTGTGCTTTCTGAAACATAACCTGCGGTCTTGAGGTGGATCCAGGCGGTTTGTCAGCGTGGGGTTTTATGTGCTAACATTGCCTGTCGAGATTCCAGCTCCTTCCGACCTGTATCATGAGGACCACCGAGGATGCAGAGGGCTTTGACGGCGAGGCCTCCAACACCTCCATGATCTCCGGGGCCAGCAGCCCGTATCAGCCCACCACCGAGCCCGTCCTCTCTAGGAACGTTCTGGGGGGGATAAGGTGCGACATGGAGTACCTGAAGTCATACTTTGGGATTTTAAAGGTGGTTGAAGTGGTAAGTGTGAGAACAACGCTACATTACTGTAACATTCAAAGATGTACAGCCCCACTGAAGTTAGTAACACAAACTATAACTCACCATTGTTGGAGAACAATCAACTGAGCAGCCACTAACATATGGCCAACTTAACACCTTCAGGGAAAGTACTGTTTTCCTCAAAGCAATGTATTTAATGCAGTATGTTTTATCACTCATACTTACAGTTTACCTGAAATAGTAAACTCAAAATTGTAATTCAACTCAAAGTTGCTCCACAGGTCTTGGTTTGTTTAACCTGTATCACATCACTTATAGTGGACAGTCAGGTTTCATGCTAACAGTATGACGACCCCATTACGCTTAAATATATGGGTTTGAATTCTCTACGGATTACCTTTCTCAATTTAGTAACGCTTTGCACACCTTGCTAAACGTTGTTTGTTTCCAGTAGACTCTTATTCTGAAGGATGCTCATGGGCTTCAACAACATGTTTACAGTATTTCTATGGTTCCCCCCACAGTGCCTTACTAGTGATTTCATAGTGTCTGTCTCGTGACTTTCTGTCTATTGTGACAGAATTGTGTTTATTAGGGACTTGGCAACCTTTGGTTTGAATGTAAATCACTTCTTTATTCGAATGCATTGCTGCTATTCCAATGCTGCAAAGTCCTAAAATGTGTTTAACCATTGCTTTCCCACTCAACAATGCCCCAGTGATAGTATTTGATTGTGTCCTGATATGAATTGCTCTTAGAAAAACGGTTATCATCATTTCTGTTGGTATGTATTGGTAAAAAATAACCTATTGCCAGCGTTATATTAAACCAATACACCTAAACCAGATGTCTGAACTGGGCCAAAGGCAGCAACAAAGCAAAAATGATGGCTCCCACATCTCTGACAATTCACCAGAGGAGGAAATATCTATCGAGCCAGAGCCATTTCTCTTCTTCTGGTGCCAAAAAACGCAGACAGGCCTGCACACTCATGCACATGATGTGGGTCCACAACAGGAAAAGCCATGGAGTTGAGGAAACTAGCAATTACCTCTAACAATGTTTGTGGATAGCACAAGCAAACTAGAAGTCCAAACTGTTGGAAGATTAGCTGCAGAGTTATGGCTTCTCTGCTTCACTTTTGAAAATGAAAAAATGATTTTCCGCTTGTGGTCTCCGACTGGTCCTACAGCAGAGCAATCAGCTTGTTGCACACACCTGTGATGTTTACCTCTGTGTACGTGGGAGGCGAGGATAGGAAGCCATCTGTCATCAGTGTAGGAGTTTGGAGCATGGAGAACTAGAGGATTCATATTCACAGTATTTTACCAGAGATTGATAAAATACTGTCTTTGACTTGGCTCTCTAAGAATACATTAATATCATTCCTTTTGTTGCAGAGGCTAACTAACTACAGATGAAAACATTTAGTAATAAGTATAATTCTTAGAATACATGTGCACACGTGTGCTGATGCCTGCTGTACATGAACATGATGATTTATATCGAAGCATTCACGATTTGTCTAATGCAACATCAGAGATCTATGACCCCAAAGGTATAGAGCTGGCTATATTTAAATGTTCTATTACTTTTATTAATTTAATACCTGCATTTCAAGACTGATACATCGCAAAACATAAAAAAAATGTTTTCTTCCAACCCTTTTTCATTTAACAAAATAAGTAAATAAATAACTATTTATCTGATGTTATAGTACTTGCCATAATGTGACAATAGGTTCACTAACAGACTTCCCATTGAGCCTTTCCTTCATGTGGATAATATAAAGATTGAAATCTGCTCAAAATATTGCAAAAGCACTAACGCCATGTTGAAAGTAGATGCTACACTATAACACAAAAAGTTGAGTTATATTGTATTTGCAGTAACATATAAAAGCCTTGGTATATCTAAGTTATATACAAGTGTAACACATTATCTTAGTTCTCATTACTAATCTACTGTTTGTACTTTCTTTGTACTTGAACAGTTTGTTCAGGGCTGATACTGTATTTCCAGAAAAAGCTAGTCATATTATGTCCTTCACCGACAAGGACAGTACAATTTGAAAGTCATCCAAGTTTACATTCAGTACCTTAGGAGAGGCCTACAACTTGGCTTGCTGCCAAACTGTAATAGCTTAATTAGCATTTATTTGTATCGTTCTGTCCTCTAAAAGTGTAGCTTTGTGCTAGCTAAGGCTACACGATAATGTTGATGACAATGCAAGGCTAACTGCATTTGATGGTCTTTACATGTCTGATGTAGGACAGTTTATGCTCTATCTGGAAACACTGCAAAGGAGGTTTTGTGTCTGTTATTCAGATCACTGTGTAAACGGAAAGTTACTCCTTGGCTGAAAAAGCAGTAGTTGTGTGTTGTTAATAGATGATCCCAACAGAAATAAGTTACCTGGTGATTAGCATCAATGCACACACATTGCGAATATGGAGTGATAGGAAATCCTGTTGTATGAAATATGTGTTATACAAAGCTCACACAAATGTTAGTGGGCCCCTTAAACACCCCTTTGGCAATATGCACTTACTTATGAGTTTGGCACGCAAAAGAGTATTATATTACCTTACACCTAGCCTTGTTGCACTAAGGAAGACCTTTGCACTGACCCGTATTTACTGAGAAATTCAGTATCCCTATGAGCAGTCCAAGGTGCTTAGTGCTAATAGAGCTGTGTAGTTGCTTCTCTCCAGAGCACTAAAATGCATTTGCACATGCTTTTATAGAGCCAGTCATTCCTTGGATGAATGGACAGGCAGGCTGCTGCTGCTGCTGCTGCTGCTGACCCCGTCCTGGTCAGAAATAACCCCCTGTAGGATGTAACCTGAGCAAGGTGTGTCAGTCCTGCCAACAGGTTTGGCAATGTCTCCCTGCTGTGACGGGGTCGACCAACTGATATTCAGCTCCTGCTCCTCTACACTAACTGGAACCTGATACCTTGTAGGCCTGACAGTACACCAGTCAAACTTTCTTTGTTTCCCAACAAGCCCCATGCCCTCAGGATGAATAACAGTTCACTCATGATGGTATTCAAACCCACATTTTCCTATTCTAGCAAGTCGTAGAACAATAGTATGCTAAGGTGGTTTTTTTTCTGGATCTGTGGATGTTGTGTAATGAAGTTACCAGATGCTTCGAAATGTCATTGAGCACTTCCTGCTCTGAGAGAGAGAGGGACGCCATATGCTACTTTCTCTTCTGTTTGAAACATTACTTAACATACGTTCCTTATCCTCTGGGGTGAAATATAACCTGCATTCAGGCCTCATTTTCCATCACATACACTGTGGGCTGCTGCTGATATATTCTACATTTATTGTAATTGTGTGTGCATGAGGTCCAATAGACTTGGAGTGCACCATATGCTTTTGCATATTCTTCGCAGCGACGCCTCTTTTACTCACCCTTTAGATTTCTGCCCAGAACAGATGGCGTGTAGGAAGGGGATCTGAGTTCAAGAGGCCCTCTAATGCAATTTAATAATGTGCATAATCCTTAAGATAAGGATTTGTGTACATGTGGGAGAAAGAAGAGAAAGAGGGTTGGTGTGCTGTTCATTGTGCACTTATCCATGTGCAATAAACAGGTTGTGTAGAATGTTGACATAAAATCATTACCTACAGGATTATCCGGTGTGGTGCTTTGCCATCCCCTGCCTCCCCCCCAGGCTGCCTGACACCTGCTGCACAGGGACTTGGGGAAAGCAATCGGCTTTCTTCAACAGACATGACCTCACCCCCTCAACCCATGCAGCCCTCCACTCCTCCACTCCTGTTTGGGTGTAACCTTTTTGGATGTATTACTATCTAACTACACAATCTAATGACGCTGCAGCAGCTGCACAAAATAAAGCTTTTGTCTAAATGGTGGCCCGCCCAGTGGATTTGCTGTGTCTTGTCTTTAGTGTATTTCTGGTAATGTTAGTGCAGGACATGTCGTGTACATGTATTACTATCTTTGGATCTTTAGGTTTCTCTGTGACATAGCCAGATATTTGAAAGAATGAACGAAGAGTCTGTCACAAACAGGAGAGTCCTCCACTGACAGGTCACCAGTAGCAGTCAGCACACAACAGTTTGTCTGTCAGAAACAGTACACTCTGCTCATTAAGACGGATAAATAGTGCTGTCTATTGAGCTGCTGAGAGCTCAGGGAGGGGAAGAGTGGGTTTCTGCTAATGAGACTGTTTGGGTTTGTGCTCAAATACATTTATTCTGTGAAGCAATGAGATGCAACTAGCTGTGGGGATTCAGACAAATCTATATTGGGTTTCACAAACCATCTCATTGTTTGGATTTTAAGTCAGGATTTCAACTTTTCATAGATACACTTTATGACGTATGACCAGTCTCTAAATACAAGGCACAGTATTTGCACAGATCTAAGCAGTGTGACAGCTCTCATTTCATTTCCATGTCAAAAGCAGCTCAGAACAAAGCTTTGCATGGACAGTATATGGACCAATGCTGTGTGTGCTTGTCTGTGTATGTTTGTTTGAATCACTACTACTATTGTGAAGCCATTTTTGTTTGGATGAAAAACATTTCTAAGGCTTTAAAGATTATTTTTAGACTGGGCTTATGTTGGAGCCATCTATTTATGTGTGCATTTTTACAATGCATATAGTTCTGTCCTGTATGAACTTGGTTTTTGGAGTAAGGTGTTCCGTTGATACATTTATTTGAAATACTTGGTGCATGGCATAGTTTTCATCCTAGTGCTGATGCTTCCCAATTCTCAGTTATTCCTCCTTCCTTTCTGTGTCATCTGACATGTTGCTTTTATACATTACTGTTGCTCTCCTCTATTCCCATGTCTGTTACCTCCCACATATAACAGCCATGTGACCATCTCTCTCAAGTCTTTTTTCTCTCACTGCCCCCTGAAATTCTTGAAATAACCTGATGGCATCCCTAAACCCATACCTGCATAATTCCCTTGACTTTGTGTGCCTGATGAAATGTCGGAAGTGTATTTCAAAGAGGTTGGAACTCTGGTTTATAGATGTGTGGGTCTTGAAGATTTGTAAATGGAGCTTAACCAAGCGCAAAGCTGCCTGGAGTAATAGCCTTTGCATAATATAAAAGTCCCTCACTTCAGCCCGGGGTTCTTATTCATTTTAGCATAATATACGTAAAAATGAAAACAAGCCACAATTGTATTATTATATATTCTATGGAAAAAAGTAATATAACCAAGATTGAAACCCTGCAACCTTGAATATGTCAAGTCATCAAAGCAACCTGGAGCATACAGACTTAAGTGTCAGGCTGATAGAGAAGAAGCAGTGAATGTTGAAGACTGTAAATGAATGAAATGACTACAGCAGTTTATTGAAAACATTAGCCTGGCTTAACAGGAACTGTAACACATACCTGTCAGGTTTTTCCGTCTGTCTTTAGAGAAAGTGTGTTTCTACCAAATGATTGATGAACCTCCTCAATCTTTTGCTTTTTAGACTGTTACCAGCATTTAGTTTTTTGTATGCAGCAGTTTAAATCAGACATTACTGTAAGACTTGCTTTGCATGAAATTACTCTAACGCTAAAGGAAAGATAAACACAGATAAGACAAAAGACCAAGCAGATCTGGTCTAAACTGGTTTGAATTCAGCAGCGTCAGGTCAGTGATTAGTCTCATTGAGTTTCTCCTGGTTCTGTTATGTCTCTGGTTTTTAGACCGCTCCAAGCCAATCTGTAATCTGTGTGTGGTTTTCTTCGGGGTCTGGATGGCAAGAGGAACACCTAAATAGCAGAATTCTTCCCATACTGTGGTTTGTTGATGGATATTGGCCGGAGGGAGGCATCTTCGCAGGCTGCCAGGACTGGGACTCTTGAGATGGGCTTATGGCCTCCGGTCTATTCATAGGACAATCACTTCATCATCTGGAAACCTTGGAATTTCAGCACAAATAGACTCATAAAGTCAAAGAAAAATGGTTTGACCTACATGCTGATGAGCACTTTTACCAAGAAGCATTTACTTAGTGACATTTTCATTATGCATTGAAGAAAATATGACATATGACAAGGATGACTTAGCTCTGACGAAGAAATATCCAGATACCATTAATACAAATCGATGCAAAAGGTTTGAATGATAACAGGCATTAAGAGAGACGGACATTTAAAAAACACTATAAACAGAATACTTAACATGCCCTTCTACTTTTCTTCTTCACCTCAGGTCCTATCACTGATTGGATTCATCTGCATAGAGACTATCATGATGTGTTCTCCCTGCGGGGGGGTCTACTTCTTCGAGTTTGTCAGCTGCAGTTGCTTCGTGGTAACCGGAGTCCTCCTCCTCATCTTCTGCCTCAACCTGCACACCAAGGTGCCCCACGTCAACTGGAGCCTCACGGTAGGTACACACACACAGACGTGATGTGTGATAGGACCAGACTATACGACTCAGTTTAGAATAAAATGTACTTAAAACCCCTTGTATGAGACAAAATGTCAGCCCTCTATGCCACATTGGTTTTGGACATGTGCAATATTAAACTAAGAACCTAGTATCTGTTTCCGACCAAATCTAAAAAAGCTTTAATTGGACTGCTTGAGTCTTGCGTTACCTATCGGACGCAGCACAAGCTGGTTGTACCAGTAAATTGGGAAGCTTACTAGAGTATAAAACTGGTTGGGTGTGTTTCAGTGTTACCACCAGGATGTTGCATTGTCAGCTGTAAGCAAATGTGGTGGTGGGTGTTCTCCAGCAGATACTGGTTGCCTTTCAGTATTTGCCCGCATACACACGTTGGTGTTTTCTGAGCGGAAGCCAAGTATCCTTTGCAGAAGAGAGTGGAAAAAGTGATTTTCCAGAGGCCACACAGCGTAGATTATTGTAGTATGTACGCTGTGGATGTTAAGCCAGATGTCCAAATCCAACCATAGCTATCAGATTTCTTTATGGCATCCGTGGTACAGTATTCCACCTCATACATAAAGAGAAGGAGTTTCTTTGGATTCTACTTTTGGCAGAAAGACATCAAATGAAAGCTTTTCACAGTCTCTGAGTGGGAGTCCATATAATCAAAAATCCTACTGTTCGTACTTTTTCTTAGACATTTTAGTAATTTTCTGCTGAGGCATTTCTCAGGTTGCCTCTGATCTTCTAATGATTTTCCTCTCATGTGATGAGCAATCTAGAAATATTTAATTAACACATATTATTTGTAGGCACAGGCATGTTGAGAAGTGAGTTTGATTATGCGTCGCCTTAAGACCCGGATACACCAATCTGACAACAAAGGACTGACACAGACGGACCCCGACTGTTGTGTCGCCTCGCGTCTCTGCGTTTTGGCCATGTGTCGCACTAAAACACACCGCAAAGACTTCAGCCGACGGCCAAGAAGCACGTACGAACTGCGCATGCGTGAGTGGCAATAACTCTCCTTACCAGCAGGCGGCGGTAGTGTGTATTCGTCATTCAAAAGAGGCAACAACCGGGCTACGTGATAACCGAGAGAAGAAGAACAGACTTCGTGATATAAACAGACAACAAATTGAGTGTGCGTTCCATTTTCACTCTACAGCCAGAAGCTCATGGGGCTTTCCCCAACCTGTGTCGAGAGCTGTAGTTCAATGAAATCTCAGATTTGCCTTCTTAATAGTTTGTTTGGGTCCCTCACTTCCGTTTCACTTCTCATGCACTGATTCGTTAGCTGAACAGCCAATCAGAGTGATTTATTTTGCCAACTGCCTTTGGCCTGAATCGGCGGGTTTTCGGGCGAAAAGGCGTCGGCACGGCTGAAAAGACCCGACGGTGTGCGACACACCAATCTGAGTAAGGCGTGTCGACGCTCATCGTCGGCCTGACGCCCACCTACGCCGATAATCGGCCTGGTGTGTCCTTTCCTTTAAGGCCGCTACACACCAACCTGAGACCAAAGAACGCGTACCGAAGGCGTCCCGACTTTTACCTCCGCTACGTCGCCTGCATCGGCTACACCGCCCGCCTACGCCCGCGAAGACTTCAGTCGACGAGTGGCAATAACTGTCTTACCAGCAGGCAGCGGTAGTGTGTATTCGTCATTCAAAAGAGGCAACAGCCAATCAGAGTGATTTCTTTGGCCGAATTTCTTTGGCCGGTTCAACATGTTGAATCGGCCGCGGGAGGTGTAAAATGTGCCGTAAAGCAACGACGGTGCGGGACACACCATCCTGAGTAAGGCGCCACGAATGCCCGACTGCCTCTGACTGCCTCTGACGGCCTCTGACTCCCAAAATCGGGTAGGTGTGTCAGGGCCTAGACTCACAAAGGAAGTTGTTCTTCAAATAAATTAGAATTGTGGGCCGTGGTTTGGCTTATTGTTATTACTGGAATCATGCTGTATGCCCAAATATTTTGAGTCTTTTATATTTTGTTAAAACCGAATATTTGGATGACAACACATTCTGTGTTTACAGCACAAAAATCCCTCTGCTTTTCAGTTTTTGTGAGCTATTTCTAGCAGTCTGTGCCCTGACTCCTAACTGCTGTGTAGTTTACGAGCACAAGATGCTCAGCTGCTCCACTCCACAGGTGTAGGTTGTGCACCACGCTGTTTATGTATATCTAGTTCAAAGCTGCTCCAATCACATCAGGCCCCTGGGAATGTCATCATGAGTAAGCATGTCAGTGTTAACCAGCTGTTAACCCTTCTGCTGCCTTCCCCTGTTTCCAAACTTAACGCTGTGGACTTAGTTTAGTTTATTTAAACACTAAAGAAGACTCAAAATACATTCAATAGGGAAACAGATTAATTACAATGTAGGAACAAAAGAGGCTTACTCAGTCTTCCTCTATTCAAACAGGTAAAAAAGGCTTTGTAACTCGTGAAAAACTAAAACAAAGCACACTTAGTAAAAAGAATATCTGTAAAGAAAAAAACATTGCAAGCATAAGCAAAAGTCAAAGAGAAGACAAGCAGAGCATTCCTCCTCTGTGGAATGAGTTGTTTTATAATGCAGTTAAACGTCTCAGAAGGAGGTTTTGATGGTAAAATGATGTGCTATGTGATCCCATCTCCTCCAATTCACCCTCTGATGACTTTGGCAGCTCAGAGGGGAAACCCGGTTCTGACCTCTTCTCCCGCCTCTCCAACACAGACATGAATGCTGTCCTGGGATCTGGTTGTAAAGCCACTGGGTGACTCTTCAGGGTTTAGTTTACGTGAATGAGCTCTACTTTGCACTACATGCTAGAAGCAGGCAGATACACCACGCAGTGAATTGTTTCCCTTATATTCACAGCCCTACATATTCTGGCAAGGGTGAGGGGTTTTGGGACAGAAATGGGTTGACCCTGAGGACAATAGTAGAATAGTTGTATTATTCAACTGTTTGAATACTCTGCAAATTGGCCCAATATATTCTGGTTGCTTTGTTGTGGGGACAGACAGTAAATCATCCCAGTTTGGTATGAATGGCTGGTCCTGTTACAACATTATACACCAGGAATGTAATAAAAAGCTGCTGTCTGTATCATATCACAAAATATGTGTATGTGTAGGCAATTGGTTGGATGGGATTCAGATCTCTTCATTGTTTTCTACTACCATATATACTTTTCATCCTTATGTGTTTAGCTTTTGACATTTTATACAAAAAAATCCAAATGTTTGTGCTTAAAAAAAATCACATTTGTACATGACATGTTATTGGAGCCCTATCTATTATTGATCCTAAAATCTGCTATTTGTTTTAATACCCTTTTTGTTAACATTTGGATAATCGCCATCATAAAACGTCCATAGTTTATCGCCTGGAATACTTACTGAAGTAATAATCTGCTGGATGTAAGGCTGAGTCAAAATCAGAAGAATTATTGTGAGCCATATGTTTTGTGTGATTTCTAAACTGATTTATGTGTGTATTATATTTGTTTATATTCAACCAATGTATTAGTCATTTAAATCCTTACTACACAAACATAACAGTGCCAAATTATCCCTTTAGTTCTGCTTAATGCTTAGGATTCCTGATGGGTTCCAACATATGTTACCTTGTGAACTTAAAGCCTGTATCTGCAGTATGCATGTGTATTTTAATCCAGCTTTGTTACTCTTTGTTATTCTGCCGGTTATGATCTACACCCCCCTGCTGAATTTGTGCACATAGCTGAGATTTGTGGTTATTATTAGCCGTAGTCATTAATCTATCGTCAGTTCAGACCGGAGAGCACTTTGCAAATGTTGTATTTACTTTACCTAAAAGCTTTTCTGGGTTTTGACATCTGAACTTTGCCACCCAGGCAGACAAAAGACATTAAATACTTCCCTGATATCTTTATTTGTCTTTCAAAAAGAATCAGTCGGGCGTGGATGAGAAAGCCTGAGAGACAATTTATTTTTGCATGAAGCTTTTAGGCCCTGCGGGACTTGATGCGACTGCCAGAGGAATAGATTTCATAATTAATGCTCTGCTCGTCCTCTAGGGTTCCCATGGTTCCGGTCCAATGAATATTCCCAGCTTCTATCTTGAGAGCAAACAATGAACATGGACGCACGTATAGGAATATTGAACGTATATATATATATACAGTATAGTATATATATAGAAGCAACCCTTCTTCTGTAGAAACCTGATATAGTGGAAAATCCAATTATCACTGGTTTTTGAGCCATGTCGTTTCTGTAGGGGATCTCCTTAAAGGCAACTATCAAAAAGACTATATTTGTGATGCAGATCTATGTTTAACAAACCTACAAAAAAGGTTTTTATGTTTTATGTCGCGAAAAGATTAATTGGATGTGCGCATGCCCTCTTGTTTTAAAATAAGCAACGTTTTGTTTGTTTTTTTACAGTTTTTTAGGTTCAAGATAACATAATTAGCTATGGTTCACTGAGGATATTAAGTAAGTGCCTCCTACAAACATGTCACATCTCTCCTTGTTAGTATAGTGGACCGGTTCTCCTCTTGTCACGCAACATTTATTTTGGAGCCGGCTCTAGCTCAGTCCAAAGGGGCTTGGGAAAAACTTCAAATGCAACTAATATTTTAAAGCATACTAGTTGGTGCAATGCTTTGAATCTTAGCAGACATACAGATGATTGTAAAACAATGACCGGGGCCAATAGTAAGCCTGAGAGCCAGTGGTTTGGTCCAGTCTGTGCTTGTGTTATTTAAGGTTTTACGGAGTGCCGGTTTGGTTGAATTGTGGAATTTGGGAATTGAGTGAAGCGGAGAGGCTGAGGGTCAAATGAAGGGACTGAACTGACTGCCTATTGGGAACAAATTGGACAGTTGAACGTGAGCAGTATTTCCTGTTTAAACAGTTGGGAGAGATAGATAGGAGTGTTTGTTAGTATTGTCGTCAATGTTTGTAGTAGTGTGTGCATGTGACTGTGTGCGCGTATGTGTGTGTATGGAGGGTGGAGTTTTTTAATTGTGAGGTTATAGTATAACACTGGTGTACATTGACTGTTCCAGTTAGCATGAGATGTTATGGATTCCATCTTAATGTGTTACTGATTAAACCACACATAGCTGCAATGGGTTCTGCCCTGCTGAGTTGTCTGTCTGTGTATCTGTGTCATTGTGTGTGTCTGTGGCCATTGTAAGGGTGCTGTGTGTCCTATGAGACACCACGTCTGCCATAATCACAATCATGCATCTGATCACGAGGGCCGAGCCCCAGTCAGGCTCATTATTAACCCCTCCCTAACAGCCTGTCCTGCAGTGCAAACATCAAAGGGAAGTGTCTCTTTCATTCTCCTTCCCTTGTGTAAAAGGTGGGGGATGGAGCCAGTTACATGTGTGTTGTGTTTAGTAATATGAGGTGCTAGCTGACTTTTAAGTATACATGTATGCTGTTGGCTTCTTTGCCCTCCTGCAGTTTAAGACTTTTAGTGAAGCAGCAGTCTGGATATTTATAAGAGTGTGAGCAAACAGTTTGTTCAACATGTTAAAACATCATCCAGGATGTCCTACCTGTCCGACTTGTTCTTAAAATGTATAATTGGTTATAACCAAACGCCCTCATATATTGAAAAGAGAAATTCTAAAATGATGCGTTGGTATCAGCATCGATAGAGCTCTACAATTTGTATTTGTTTACTGAATGAATTGTGTAATACTTTTCAAATAGCACTTTGATGTGCTTTGGAGTAAAAAACATTTGAAAATGTAAAAGGGAGGCTTTTATAACATTGTCACTGAGTGCTATAGATGCATTACATTAAAGTGTAATGCTACACCTGCTGTATGAATTCCCTCTTTGTAAATTTCTGAATTGACATATGATATATACTTTATGTGGAGCTGAGCATTGAACATCAACCCTTTTCAGCATTGACCAAATGTATTTAAAACAAGTAGTGAAAACTGGCATCATAAATGACTCTGCATCAGCAGCTACCCTTAAGAAACCCTTTGAGATTCATCCTGAAAAAAATACTTGTGATGCCCACTTGAAGTCTAATCTTATCTTGTATTTATCTGTGTGTCTTTCTGTAGGACCTGGTTAACACAGCGGCCAGCACCTTCTTCTTCTTCTTGTCCTCTCTCGTGTTGGCCTGCATCAACCACAACACTGGAGCTGAAATAGCAGCTGTGGTGAGTATTCAGAACCCTCCTCTATTTCCACGTTATTCAGATACATGGAAAACATCTTTACAAACCTCCATCTTCAGTCATCTAGCTTCCTATCAAGGCAAACCTATACAGATTGATTTTAAAACTGTCAGCTTAGATTTTAGCAAACGTCTTATTTATTTCATTTAACTCATGGGTGTGTTAGCAGAGGAGACTGACCAGATTATTGAACCATCTGCTGGTGGGTAGCTCTGATCTGAGTCACATGCTATAGGTTTAGTGTGCAGCAAGCTGCCAAAATAAACCTGGATCAAGACCATTTCTGCTTTTGTATTATATATCATGAACTATATAATATGTAAGCTTTTAGGTCCGTACAATTTATCAAGTCTTCTTCAGTCTAATTAAAGAACCTGTGTGGCCATGCTAGCGGTTAGCTCTTTGCTTCCCATTTAATTCTGACATTGTTATTATACTTCCATTTTCCACTTGTATGCAGATCTTCGGCTTCCTGGTGACAGGTGTGTACGGAGTCAACTCCTTCCTGGCGGTACGGAGGTGGCGCCGGGGCAATGGGTGTCAGGGGGCGGCTCAGACCAGCGAGTACATGCGAGCGCGCACGGCGTCTCGTGGAGAAACGGAGGCCAGGCCCGAGCTTGCATGAAAGCAGGCAGAGAATCAGACAGACTAAAGGAAAGACACACTACCAGCACCAGACTGAGATGGAGTCTGCCTTCAGATCAGCATTTCATTCAAGTGTCCAGTGGAAGGGCATCTCCAGCTCACCACATGCTTTTGACTTCTCATCAAGTGTTCATTTCAAATCCACAGATGAGCTCTATGGTTTGGTTCATCAGGCCTCCGGGCTTCAGTGACACATACAGACTCTAAAGTAAAGAGCTCCAGTCAGAAGTGAAGGTATACTCTGTAGAACTTTTCATCCTCATGTTTTTCCAAGTCAGCATGAAGGATGACTCCAACGAAGAGCCAAAACTAAAAATGTCTGACTACACTCCAATGCGCACTAACTCCCGTTCTGGCGTAGGTGTTGACTTTTTAGAAGGTTTTGTGTTTCACTGTGAATGAAGTTAAAGAAGGTCAGCTTTTTGTACAGTTTGCTTATTTTGCGCCGATGTCTGTGAAGTCTGTGGTATTAAATGTAGCCGTGGATCCAGGACCTGCAGCATATAGTAACCTATCCACGACAGAGGCACCAGGACATTTACTGTTATCTCTCAGATACTGACTTCAGCCTTTGGTTATCAAGGCTGACATTAGATATTTGAATGTTATGATTACACATGCTGTGTGTGTTTCTCCTTTGTCGACACTAACTTTACAAATGCCTCTAACACCGGACCTCTAGCTGCTTTGAATATCTCTGCTGCCAACACGTAAACAGTAACAGTACAGGATCACTCTTAACTGCAATAAAGACAGCAGTGAAACAGATTCAACACACATTCATCCAATGGGATTGACACAATAATGAAAAATATTAAATAAAAATCCTTCATTTCATCTTCCTTATCTCAGGTTGTGGTTACCATCAAAAATATATTCAGACTAGCATTCCTAACATTTTAATTTCAAGGTCTGTGTTGGGTCAACATTGTGAGGCAGGATTAGGTTGTATCAGGTGATTATAAGGTAATTGGTATCTTGTGACTTTTGCACATATCTATGGCTTCAGGTTACACGTATGTTGATGGTACATCAGTAACAGTAATTGAGTTGGTGACCTGGTCAGGATCAAAGCCCCCAGCCTATAGACTGAATCTCAGGTATTGACAACCTCCTTCCATATTGAGTCTAAAAAAAGGATTTGAAATTGAATCACGGGTTGCCTCGTTCTGATCTGCATTTCTTTATGCCATTAAAACCACAAGTTATGATATGACTGTCATAGAGAATACCATTTTAGTGAAACTTTAATGATTTTTTTAAATGGAAGAGTCAAGTGAAGGAGACAAATACGGTACTTTTAGCATAATTGTAAAAGCTTTCACTCTGTGTTTGGTATAATAAATGTATCTACAGAATATTATCACACTTCGTATAATGAAAATATTTATAACTCCACAATGCAGTTGTCATGAAGCTCTATACACGCAGAGCCCGAAACATATTTGCTATTCCTTAAAGGTAGGGTATGTAAGTTTGAGAAACCGGCTCGAGATCGCGAGAATTTGAAAATACACGACCGGAGAAAATCTGCCTCTTCCTTACAACACACACGAACGCGCACATGACCAATGAGGACACGAGATAAGTTTGTGCACAGACGGAAGGCTGACAGGCAGGTAGGCCATCCAGTTATTTTAGCCGGGCCGGCTAAAATGATTGCTCGTGCTCTTTACAGTACTACGGCTTCATCAGATGACATTTTTTTATGGATTTTTTGTCAAAGCACTTAAGATATTCATTGCTATCGGGATGTTAAGAGCATTCCATGGAATATAACAAAAAGTGTATCTCGAGCCGGTTTCTCAAACTTACATACCCTACCTTTAAATGCTTTTTCTGTTTGACCAGTTGACTAACAGGAGGATACATCTTGGACAATTAAATGCTTTTTAAAATGAAGAAAGAAATCAACGTAATTCTTGTTGCTTTAATATTACACTATAGTCCCACATGTGTTTGTTTTCTTTGTTGTTTGAGACCTATTTAAAGTCTTCTAAGTCTCTAGATTGACTCTATGGCTCCATCTCCTGGTGGTCTTCTAAAATGTACTCCGTGTTGCTGTACAGCCTGATATCCTCACTGGTGTGTGTTCATAAGAAGAGGAGTAGATGTGTGTTTGACTGGGGGTAAACATTTGAAATATAAACTGTAAGACTTCTTAAACAGCTTAAAAGGTTCACACTATTCAGAGAGCTATTAGCCTTAATCGTGTTTTTAGTCAATTATATTATAAACAACAGCTTTTTTCCTGGTTTTGACTGAAGTACTTTTCTGAACAGACAATCATATGTGTTCACTTTGCATTCATGGATTTTTTTCTGAGTGATGTAAAAATATTTACATTTAGTAACACCATCACTATTCTATTTGATAATATAAATTGACCATTTTATCCATTAAAACTCAATATTGCAGCTCTATTTAGAACGCTATGCTGTATTAGGATTTTACATATTTTTTATTTATGGGAAAGAGAAGAAATGCTTTCCACAGGTTTCCAGGTGCTTTAAACCGTGAATGGTCATTATGATTGTTAGAATGAAATTGGAGGTGAGGCGCTCTTTTGTTTCCTTTTAATCCTGTGTGCTTTGGTTTCAATATCGTCTGTCCTTTCAGCATGGAGCCCAACTTGTACTTGCTATTTGCAGTAGCTGTATTTTTGTATTTAAACATTCACAAAAGGCTTCACATCAGTTTACAGTGACAATTGAAATAAAGTGATTTGGACATTATTGAAAATAGCTCACTTTTTCATTCCAACATGTTTTGCACAAAAGGGAATAACAATAAAAAAAAAACTTTAGCTGACAAACAATAGTTCAGTAAGGGGCGTCTTTTATATAACGATGCAGTGTTCCTTCGAATAACGAGATTATTATCCTTTATTTTTGTATGCACAGCAAATGGCTATGGTTTAATTCAGTTGCTGTCTTGTGAAAACCGGGCATCTCCAGATTTAGTGATGTTACATGTTACAAGATAACACATTATTTTACTTCTTATGATAGATAAATTATTCGAAACCCGATTGAAATTATCAAAAAGTTGACACTGTTGTTGTGAGCTTGTGAAAATGTGGAGTTTTGGAGATTAATTGTTTTCACAGGGTTGTGAAGATAATCGCCAGTTCAGTTCTCACTGCAAATGTGTTTCATACAGCTCTGAGCTGGCATAGATCAATTTAAACCCCGATTTATCAACAAAAATGTGGATATATTATTGCCAAGGCACCAGTTAAATAAAGAATCTAAGTGAAGCCACACAGGAAACAAACTGTCAAAACTTTACAGTAAATGGTACAACAGTAAACAATTGATTGGAACTTTAGAATATCTTTTAACTTTATTGAGCCAATTTCGCTCAACAGTTAGAATTCCTCAGGGAAGTGAAAGGCCTCTGATTGATCTGCTTTAAATTCACAGTGCTGTTAATAACACTAGTGCAGTGCAGTGTATATTACATATCAGTCACTGTGGCTTTTAGTGCATCTAATTCTTCAGTAATGTTTCTGGAAATACTGAAAAATCAGACTTGCAAGCAACAAAAAAAAAAAAAGAACAACCAACATAAGAAAATATGCTTTCGATACAAACAAAAACAAATCACATATTAAACATTTAACAAAATAATAATGCATGAAGTGTCATTAACACACACAGGTTGTACGAAGCACATACAGTAGACAAACGGAAACATTAGAGCAGAGCGTCTTTTGAACAGGTTTGAAAATGTGTTTAGCCTTCATTCATGGCAACTATAAACAAAAGTTGTGGGACATGTAAACCATATAAGGACCCGGAAAGAAGAGCTTATGCAGTACAACATGCCATAGGAACTCAGTTGATCCAACATTTCAATTTTATAAGCAAACATTTTCTTCAATTTATAGAAAATTCACTCTGTAAAAAATTTGACAGAGGTTGTAACCAGCCAGCCTCAAACCAATCGTTTCTTCTTTATACTGTACATATGTGTTTTTATAGCAATACTGCAAATGTATAAATGATGATAAATGCTGCACTTACCTTCTTCACTATTAGTATTCATAAACATTGATTCACTAAGGACAGCAATTTAGTGTTGTTTGTTACAGTATGTCTGTAAATAGGGACACTGTAAATACCTAAAAGTCAATACTAATTGATATTCCAGATTAAGACGTATGCTTCTACATGCAGATTGTACAAAAGGCTCTTGAAACTCAGTATCTTCAAACAATTTCACAGCTTAATGATTATTTAAGTATCAGGTATTTTTTTGTAAATCTTCTAAGACACTAGGTTTGTGTTAAGGCATGAAACACAACTACATGTAATGAACAGTAAATTAGTCATTAAAAAAAAAACACAGATTTGACACATCAGTTTAGACATTTTCTGAATTTGTGGACATGATTAATATGTGAAATACATTTCCACCTGTGAACGCTCAACAGGAGAATTCAAAGTGTGAAGAAGAGAGGGTCCGTTTCACCTCACAGAAGACCAAATACTTTATGGAGAAAGTCCCAAATCCACCAATTAATTCACTTAGTTGACAATCAACGTGACCCTTATGTGACGATCTAACATGCTGGTGAAGACCTGCTGGTGGTCCGTGTGCTCAGTCCGAGTCAGAGTCTGAAAACTCGCCTAGAAAAAAAATGCAAACAACAGATTAGGTATCTGGATTGGTGTGTACCAGTTACATTAATATTTAACTTTAATGCCAGAAAGTAACAAGTAATTGAACAATATGATGCACTTGAATACATGAATATATGTTGGAGGACGACATGGATTTAAGTATCTGACGTTGAGTTATGATGACGCAAAATCTATGGCTTCTACTTTGATGAAACTACAGAACAAGCCCAAACTTTGAAAGATACAACAACTCTGTTTTTTAAAGTGCTGGTTCCCCCCATAGACTGTATGGGTCACCATCATCACATAAAGCATCTTCACAACCCTCTAGATGTATCACTAATTAGTTCGATTTTTTTTAGAAAAGGTTTAAAAAGTTATTCTCTAAAACTTGCACTAACAGAGCAAAGTAAATGAGGTGAAAGGTTCTCATTTATTGCATCTCAAATACAATTGAAAAATAACTAAAGTATCTTTCTCTATCTTTCTTTGATCTCTCTCAACATCAAAGTTAAGGAGGCACATTCAAGCATGCAAAAAGGGTTGTCTCGAATATTCAAACGGTCTGTCTATGATGCAAGTTGTGAACTTGCGTCTGCCAAAAACAGTGAACCAAAGGAAGTGGCTGAAGCACTAACCTTTAAATATCATGTCTAAATTGATACTGTCATACGCATGAACACAACTTGGCTCACTCTTGTATGTGCAATGCCAAAATCGGCCCCAATAAGTCAACCTTACAACTTTAAATGGTGGATTGACAAAAAATTAAACACAGCATAGTTAAAGCAAACACATTTTAGTTTAATAAATGTGGATTTTTTTGTACATTTAATAAAACATACTGCGCAATAATTAATATCTTACAGGCCTATATTAAGTCATGTTTATTTGAATAAATAGAGTATATTTATTTAAAATCAAATAGTCTTGTTTGTCTGATTTAAATCAGATTGTCCTTTGGGTATTACCTTGCTGTCTCGATGGCTCCTCATTGGTCTCCCCTCCCCCTTGCTTCAGGAAAGTGGCCAGCTCATTAAAAATGAGGTAAAAATCTAAAGCAAAGACGATGGTGGCAATGAACCCAAATATCTGTGAAAAGAAAGGCATTTGATATCAATACAGGGAAAAATTACTGGTGCGATAAAAACTGAATTATTCAACAACGATTTAAAGAGTTGTATGTACTTAACAATACATAAACAATGGAGTTGTAGGCTATAATCAGAGATGAAAAGGAGAATTTACCCCAGCAGCCTTAGAGGCAGCGTCCGCATATTTGGATACTGACATTATGGAGATGATGAAGTAAATAATGGAGGCAGTCACACATCTCAAGAAATCCTTTAAGAGAGGAAAGAAATAACATGTTTTTAGAGGAAAACCGTAACTTTTTAAAACATTTCTTTGTTTTCTCATGTACAAGATCATGGGTATCCAAAAAAAACTGCTCTTACCATAAGAGGCCAGAGGAAGCCTTTAAACCTCTCATTGAATTTGATGGAGTAGGCGAACAACAAGAAGAGAGCAGAGAGGAACTCCAGCAGGGGAAATGTCACAAAGGCTGCTGCTGTGGATGCCGCGAAACAGATAAATGAAACAAAAGACAGCGCCTGAAAGACAAATAAAAAGAGAAGTAAGTGCAACATGTACAGCAAGTTTGGATCAATGAGGAGTTAATGACTCATGCCTCGAACAAAGAAATAAAATGTGTTTTCTTCTGTGATTGAAGACAACTAGAGATATTGAGGAAGGGACATATCCCCCTGTCTTGAGTTTATGTTAATTCCACATACATACGGTAAATACAAAATATTTATTTCACAGTACAGTATTTAAGTTTGGATTCTGATGATCTCATTCTATTTTATATGTAAATGTTTTTGTTCATCCTGCAACTTTCCATAATTTGTATTTCACTATGTTATGTGTTTTTGTTTCACCCGGAGGAGCTGTCTCAATATTTGTATTGCTAAAACGACACTAGCTTTTATGCATATACCAAATAAAGCTTTTGAATCCTTTAACCAATTTATTTATTTCTATTTCATTTCAAACCTTTATTTAACCAGGTGAATCCCATTGAGATCATCGATCTCTTTTTCAAGGGAGACCTGCAGAAATTAGGTTACACATGAAGACAGAAAAACCGAAAATAACAGAAAAACAAAAAGGACATCAAACAACATAGTTACAGGGTTTCAATTTACATACCTAACGACGTACCAACAGTATCAGATTGCATAGCATCTATCAGAGTTTAAAAACATGCAGTGGAACCAAATTGCTCAGTTTCCATTATTTTTGCGTACTGTTCCAAGCAAGAGGAGCTGCGCCGGAACCAAAAGGCACATTTACATTTTCGACCCAACAGATAAATACATTTACTCTTTTAATCTGCTCCCTAAGATCATGTTACCCTGCCCTGAAACTGTGAGTCTGTGTGAGTTAAAGCTTCAGGCCCACTTCCTGTTTGGAGATACAGCTGTTAAGAGCTGTAAAAGTTTATTCACTCAGGCCTTGTCGTTCTCTCTCACACACGTTTGTGCAAGCACCCACAAACACAGAGCTGTTACTGAAAGAGGACGTTCAAACGTGCTCTGTGTTTGCAACAAGTAGTTCAAATGTATGTAAATGAGCCTGCCCTGTGTTTGACGCTCTCTATTAGGAGTGCTGGACAGATCACATCAGTGCCATATAAGCAAGTCCAGACACTGTAATCTTAGACAGGCCCAGCCATCTTGTCTTTGTCTCAGTCCTCCTACCCTGGCCTGAGGTTAGGAACTCCCCCTGCCTGAACCCACTGTTGCAGCTGCTAATACTTAAAAATGCTGCAACTAAGCAGTATGCTGTCAGGGATATATAATATTTCTCTGTAATAAGACACATAACAGCTTCAGGAAGCTTTTATTCTGGTTTTTCAGTAGATCCTCAGGCATTGTTTGCTCAAAGAGAATAAAGTATATGTTGGAATGACTGAGCAACAGCACAGGATGAGCTTGTGTAGTCTTGACAATTTGTTGCATACTCTGGCAAAAAAGAAAGGAAAACACATCATATCAGTGAGACAATAATGTTTCCTTTTGTTTTGAGTCCAGAGAATAACACTGGTCTAGGACTGAAAGTAAAGATTTTGAGTTTTCTTTGGATAATTGTTTAATCGTCTAATCATTTGTTTATAAATCCATACCAAAAGCTAACTGTGCTAGGTCAGATGTGAGGGAGCTTGTTTTGAAAGCTTTGCCCTTAAAAGGTTTGCGATGAGTCAACTGCGCAGGTATTAAAGGTATAGTGAAACCCGTGAGTGCATGAGTGTTAAACACCTAAATACATTATAAATTCTGAGGGCCAGAAAATGGCATACTGAGCGGAGAATTCTGACAATCTAATCCAGTTTATACCACCTAGGGAGACAGCACAACTTTACCACACCATGCACGCGCATTAACAGCCTGTTTGCATTATGGAAATGTTTCAAATGTTACAAAAATCTGCTTTTTTCAAGGGCATACAACCTGTGTTTCAGAGTCCTTATTGGGCCTGTTGCTGGCAAAGACTGAAGCCTAATGAGCAATACACAGTGCTCTGACACATTGTGTATAGTAAGGGATGCTCAGCAGAATATGTGTCTGACTAATACTCCCAGGAAGGGAAAAGCTACAGCCTGCGTTCATTTTACTGTACAACTGCATACTTAATGAAATAAACAACAGCTTCCCAGCATTGAGTTTGAACTCACACAGTGCACATGGCACAGTACAGTAAATAACATAATAATATCAACAGAAAAAATACCATTGATAAACCCATACAACAACAACGACAGACACAGATGAATCAAATGAATTCCATTTTCTAGTGTTCTACAAAACCAGTAAAAGTTGAGTTTCTGAATGCATCAGTTAGGATTGTAGAGGATAATAAATACAAAATAAAAAAACATCTCTCATTACATCTATAGGTATCAATGCAGGATTTAGGACATTTGTCTTTGCCCTCACTCATAGATAATGATGACGCTTATTTTTTTTCGGCTGGCAACGAACACTTGAACAAAATGTAATGCAATTTGCACCGTCAGTTTCTTCTGTAACAATTTGTTGCAGTTTGGGTTGGGAGATACCATGAGACAAAAGGTTCTACCATAATGTTACACTGGAGTAGCTTTCCTTTTACCATCTCTGACTGAACTACATCTTTGTGGGCAATGTTAGGAATCTAGGAGCATCAAGGTTTTATGGCAAGGTTGGGTTGTTATTTGCTTTTGTTGACATTGTAAGCTCCTTTTTACTTGTCCATTGTTTAATTGACTGAATTAGCCTAAATGTAACGCTATTCTTGTTTAAAGCTATTCTTGCAATGCAATAAACAACAGATCAAGACTTAAAAGTACATAGGGAGTGATTCACATACAAAAGCGTGTTTCTAAAAGTGTGTCTTTAGATTTGAAAGAGAAGTGTATCCATTCTGTGGATCTTCCTGTGGCCTTTTAGTTAAGCTATGCAGAAGCATTTTAGCCTCAGGATGAATATCACAGTCACATTGCTGAGTGGCAGTAAAGAGACTGCATTGTGTGTGTGAGAGAGTGCAAGGGGCTGCTGAGCTCTGCATGCACACACAGTAAGGACTGTGCTCCAGGCTACATGTTATGGCAACAGACAAAAGGATGTGACTGAGAGGAAGATGACTGCATGCTCTCTCACATGACACAAATCTGAGGGTTCATACAGCAGTAACAAGCAAGAAGACATCCACCCCCCACCACTATCACTATCAAACACAAGTAGGCCTACAGTCAGTCATGCTTTGTTCAAATGCACTTGAAAAGTCACTGAAAAAGCAATTCGGAAGTTGTTTTTATAAGCTGATTAAATGTATTAAACAAACAGAGTCTGAAAAAAGTTTATACTTGTATCTAGCTTGATCCCTAGCAGCACATATGGCTATTTTCAATGGAGAAGATGGTTACAGTGATCTTCAGTGTCTTCATAATCCATAGAAAACTGTATTCCAACTTTCCGAAGTGTCCCTCAAAGTTGCTCACTACTTCCCTTTAGAAACCCTGTGACGAAAACCGACTGACCCATATTCAAAAGGACAGTTAAATAGTCCGTTAAAGTTATTTCCAAATGTGCATTAATGCAACACATTGTCATGGCTGCCATATCTCGTACAAAAGAGAAAATACAACTATCAAAACGAGGCGCGATTTGACTTTTGGGCGCGTTTGGCGAAGGCATGGCACAGTAAGAATATCAGTGATTTCAGATTGCTCTGGTCCATTTCTTACCACTTCAGCAATAAGCAGCATTCCTTTCCTTGAGGAGGCGAACTCTTTGCTCGGGAGGACCGACAGCAGGACAGTCTGGCGCGGGTGAGTCGAGCTGGGAGTCTCGATGTCCCCCATGGTTGGATAAAAAGAGATATGAACTCTCCTCAACAGTCAGAGAGTTCAAACTAACCCGCAATGTAACGGATCAAAAGCTAAAGAAAAGATATGTGGAGGCGTGAGGCTTCTCGGAGGTGGAAACGGAAACAATGACAGCGCGGAAACGCAGCGCGAGCTCCCAACAAGCGCAACATCTGCTTTCTCCAGATGTGAAATGTGATGCCCCCAGCTGCACACATACAACACGATCGTCAGCCATTCAGTGGAAATATCCAACTCCTCATGTCAGAAGGCAAAGAAAAGGCTTTATTGATATTTGTGTCTTATTGAGATTTGTGTCAAATACAAAAATATCGTCAAACACAAATCAGAAATAGCCTACATTGCAATAAAATACATTTGAATACAGAGTTTGAAACATGCCAGTTTACAACACTTCGAGTCACATTGTACAGTAAGCTCAGGGGAAATGTATCAGTTGTAGAGCATTTGGAATTGTTAATGTTCATTGTTTACAGTATTAATTTCACTTCTTGGCTGGTTGAATGTGATGTTCTTGAAAAGTACGAAGCTGTCCACACACATCAGCCCAGCGAAGACAAGACCAAATATCTGGAAATGAAGAGCATATTTGACATACATATTTCCTGTCAACACTCCAGTGTGTCTAAAGAGAAAATCAAATGTCATGTACATTGGGCTACAGTCAGAAGATGAATGCAGATAACAAGCAATGGTATGCTTGCTATCTGCTATTTATTATTTTGATGCCAATGTACGAGGGGAAACTAAAATCCATTTCAAATGTGACCCCCAAAACTGAGATTTCAATTATAGATTAAAGAATATATATTTCTCACCCCTCCAACCAGCGTGCCTGTGACAGTGTAGGTGGTCGCCGCCAACAGGCTCAAGACAATAAAGTAGACTGCAGCAAACACTGAATTAAAAGCATCCTGCACAAAAAAAAATAGCTTTAGAAAAATGACTTTTAAAATGCAACACTTACAGTATAGACTTAAATTGTTATGTGCTGTAAAACATCACCCACAACGAGAGGCCAGAAGAAGAATGTCAGCCTCTTGTTGAGTTTGAATAGGTAGAGCAGCAGTAGAAGGGAAGTGATAACAAACTCCAGCACTGTGGCTGCAATGTACTTTGGTCTGGAGGCTACAGCGAAACACACAAAGGCCACAAACAGAATCACCTAAAGCAGAAACACAACAGTTAGAAAATGGTAACTGCAATAAATGCAATTTGAAAACTTTTTTAAATATAAACACAATATTGAGCTTTCGTATCAGGACGATTCTGCACAATAATATCCTGCATTATTGGACATTTGTATTTCCACATGTATATTTTCCACATATTCTTTTTTACTTTTTAATGTTATTTTATTTCGATTTCAGAAATATTTGTGGACTGTTTATTTCTTGTCTCTTAATTTATCTTGTATTTTCTATCTAGAGTTGTTATTCTAATCTTCCAGCAGGAACCAGAACATCAGCTGATTTACTCTTCCTTCATAAGACGTTGCACATCCTATAGAAAAAGAGGAACTGAGTGTCGGCTAATATTTCAACATCACATTTATTTTTAAATACAAGTAACTAATACAGTTGCGAATATGATCTTTTAATGTTGATCACTGCATTAACAAACTAGCCATTGTCACACTGTTAAACACTCTATAGAGCGGATTTGTTACACTGCTGTTATTTCTTCACACGCTGTATCTTCTTCCCCTTTAATGTGTGCAGGTTATATACTTAGTTCCTTACTTATGTTGCCAACCATGAAACTTTTAACCTCATGTCTCACCATCTCTGCTACTTTCAGGATGCCCCTCTTGGATTTGATAAACGCAGTGTCCACCTCCATGGCTGTTATTCTACTTGGATCCTCTGACATGATGGTGCGAGTTCATTTGCAAGACAGCTCACAGTTTGTTTCCTGAAGCAGGCAATTTCCTTTTAGCTGTAAAGGAAATGACTCTCAGCCAAAATAAGCGCAATATTTTCACACCAGCAGCTACTTGCCACATCTGCTGTAAAAGCTATGAAAGATGTGCACTACTTTATATGAGCTCTGACTTTTACAGGACAAAACATTTTAACATAATCTCCACCACGGCAAGTAATCCATCAAAATTGGAAGTAGAGAGTTTAGTTGACAATCACTTAAAGGGTACATGCAAAATGCACTTTTTGATGACTTTAATACATAAATATGTGTCCCCGGTGTGTCAGGAAACTCACGCAGAGTCATAAAATAAAACCCTTTCTCTTTTCCTCTGTACCCAAATCCTTAAAAAAACCGGGGTACAACGAGCGGATACAGATTTGCTGCCGATATGACGTAATTTCGGATGGTGGACCCACAGAAAGTTGCTATCAGAAACAATGCCTGCCGTGTTTTGGATGTAATCTCGTCTTTTTTTACATTAGCAAGCCTCGCTAACACTCAGCACATGTGTTTAAAAAGCAGGAAATAAAAAGGAACTCACCTTGTGATAAACCCGCAAGAGAAAAAGCATTTGAGCTCCATGCTGTTTCAGACATAATCCTTGATGTTGTTTAGAACAGGATGGCATTTTATCATAGCAGAATTTAACTTTATCTCCGGTAGATTTCAGATGAGGCATTAGCTCCACCTCCTCTTTTTTTTTTTTTTTTAAGCTAAGGACCCAAAATCCGCATTTCTCGCCTGGCCTACAAAGGCCTACCGTACTAAGCCGTGCGAGGCCCTGCAGTGGAAATGTGCCATAACAGGGCTGCAAAAGAGGGGTATGAGCAGTATGAGGCATGGCTACAATGGGTGATCTGTTTGGTATTTTAAGCAAAAAACTTCACAGACATGTTTTGTATAGGTATGGCCCTACAATATATTTTTACAATATCGCATAATAGGTCCACTTTAAAAGGGTCATGATAACAGGTATTACAAAATAACTTTTTTTTGAGAACACATTTTTCAGTATGCAGGTAACAATGATTAAGATTTAAAACAACAATACAACATTGTGTACATCACATTAGGCTTGATAGAATAAAATAAAAATCCAAACTTCTCTGTATCATTTTTCCTGACTTCAATCATTGGCTCTTATTGCAGTGCTTCTCCAGAGCGGGTACAACTTTTGTGCACTCATTGAAATAGCAGCTATAAACAAACATCTATTTGCATAACCCATACAATGAAATACCAAAAAACATCCCTTGATTTGACCCCATGTCCATCTCTTTAACACTGTACATAAATCATTTTACAAAAGAATAAGGTTGTCTTTTGACTAGAAAGGCAGATCTTCAGGTCTTGGTTCCTCATCCTCTCAATGTGGCCAATCACACTTCCAGGGCTGAGACTTTGGCACTTTGAGACACTTTCCTAACTTCTCACAGCCAGCAGGGGCCCAATTCTGTAACAGAGAGCAGCAATCACAGCAAGCACAAGAATATGATGTTATCACAAGAATATTACGTTATCAGAGTTATGAGTGATTTACAGGAAGTTATTACTGTGCTTGTTTAATTTATTCACCACAAGGGGGCAGTGCTATGCCACAAATAAATGCACAGCAGTGTAGCTCTCACTCTGTGCTTCAGTGTGACAAAGCCACTGCCTAATTTATATCTAAGAAATCCTAAAGGACATGTTTTTCATAAAAGTCAAACACAAAAATCTAAAGGAAAATGTCCAGGTTCAGATAATGATATGATATATATATATATATATATATATATATATATAGGTTATAATATGTTCAAGTTATACATTAAGTCTGCAAGCTCAAAGCAGACAGTTAAAGGTAGGGTAGGTAAGAATGGAGAAACCAGCTCGAGTGCGCTAGAATTTGAAAATACACAACCGGAAAAAATCTGCCCTTTCCTTCAGACTTCCTTACAGAGCCCCTCCTCCAACACACACGAACGCGCACATGACCGATGAGGGCACGAGATAAGTTTGTGCACAGATGGAAGGCGTGTGCCTAGGCAGTCCATCCAGTTATTTTAGCCGGGCCGGCTCAGATGATTGGTCTTGCTTTTTACAGCGCCACGGCTTCCACAGATGAGATATTTTTATGTATTTATTGTCAAAGCATTTAATGTGTTCATTGCTATCGGATTTAGGAGCATTCCATGGAATATAAAAAAAAGTGTTTCTGAAGTGAATTACCTAACCCACCTTTAACTTAAATATTCAGATAGTTTTATGAATTCTTAGTTTTTTCACAAGGGCTTAATTAATTTGTCTTTGTATTCGTGTATCTGATGTATAAGTTTGATGGACAGACCAGAGAGATAAGGTGTAAACATTCCTGGGATTAACGCTCAGTATCTGAGTTACCTTCTACACACACAATGAATGTATTCTCAACATAATTGATATAGTTTTGCACTTCTACTAATAAAGTGCATCTTGACATTTATGTTGTATAAATCTCACCATCACCGCCACGTCACACATGTTGAGCTGGGGAACACCGGGCACCAGCGTACTCTTATGCAGCTCCACAACAGGAGAGATCCTGCTCAGCACTTTCTGGTACTCATGGGACGAAACACTGCAACACACAACACACATGGTCAGTATGTTGAAACTAAATGTTTGTTTCAGTTTCCATTATCTGATGATATTTTTTACTCTTATTGAAAGCAGATGTCTGAAAATCTAAAATGTTTTGTCTGACCAAAAGTCCAAAGCCCAAAATATTTTAGTACACAACTACACATTATAGAAGCACAAAAGAAGAAATATTTGGTAATTTTGCTTGATAAATTACAGAGAGAATGTATATATTTTTGTCAATTGAGTCCGTATTTTAAGCTTTTAATACACGTGAAACAATGACTTAACCAACAATCGAAAATGACACACACATACACAGACCTGGATCAACGGTTTCATAGTGTATACCCACATTGACTCAAACACAAGTCTGTTTTATCTGTTTTGTCCATTTGTTTCAGGTATTTAACAGACATTGATAAGTCTAACATACATTCAAACACACACACATACAAATTTGCATTATTTCAATTTTTTTGGCTTTTGGTCATAGAATATTGTTGTTAATGCTGCGCACATGTATCCTGTCCACCTTATAACAGAGAAGGGAAACGCTGTAGCTTTAAACAACAGAAACACCTACACACATCCAAAATCACACACATGCTGTCCACTCGGGCACCCTTTGGTAAAGCACGCTCAGCAGGGTGAACTATGTAACCCCTACCTCATCCCCTGTCTCTCAATTACTGTTGTTGGACACCAGTGAGCCCGAGCACCTCTGTGCATTATTATATTCAGTGTGTAAAACACAGGGGCCCCGAAGGCTTTCAAAGGAACGCTGCTCTCAATAGGACCTGTAGGGTTAATGGGCTGTGCGTGCACGTGTGGGTGTGTGTGTGTTGGGGGAGTGGGTGTCTGGTAGCGTGACACACAGATAGACAAATATCAGCAGTGCAATTACACCCCTGATACGCTCGCCGGCAGCACCTGTGCCAGCCTTCAATGCTCCCTCCACTGCAAACCCGGCCCTCTGATTGGCCCCTGGGGACCATGTGCATGTGTGTGAGGTGAAGTGTCAATTAGAGTAATAACCCCAGGCCCTGTCCAGCTCACACCTCCCCTCCCTCTTAGATCTCCCACAGGGCAGCAAGGCTTTCTCCATCAGCCAACACCTGCTCCTCTCCTTGATACTCTCATTCTTTACTTTCCCCTACAATTACTCGCCTGGTAGTGCACTGGCCGCAATTAGTCTCTCTCCTGGTGTGCCACATTCGTCATAAGCTAACTATCAATGCACTGTGACCCGAGCTGATAGGACAGCACTGGATTCATACCCCTGGTTAAAAATCAGACATTCAGATTAAATTCCTTCAGCTATCGAAAATCGCAAATTCTGCTTTCGCCAGATTATGATCAGCAAGAGAGATATTTAATTCCCCTCCTATCTGTGCCCGCTACTGGTTGCTGCGATTAATTTTGTGATAAGTGATGAAGCAACTTAATAAAAGTAAATGTAGGGGATATTTATCAGACTGTTGTAAGTTTCCTACGCTACCATACAAGTCTGCAAGTAAAGTGCGCCATGCATGGAGAAACTTGCATAAGATATTATGTTTTCTATTGTTTTGTCTATGCACTGAAAATCTCACACTGCAGACCTCTAAATCAAAAACTAATAATATCATTTGTTTATGCCCCCTCTGCAAACAAATAATAAAAAGCCTACAGTCAGCACAGCTCATTATCATGATTATAACCCTCAGCTTACTGGTGTAGAGGCAAAATCTGGAATAATAAGCAGGCTGTATGCAAATGAAGTCTTTTGATTTATAATGTATGGCACCCAAGGGGGATGGGGGCATTGCTCAGGTGTGTCACCACTCTGATTACTGATTCATAACACTATTGCTGGAACACACACACACAACCACAACCACACAGTGGCAGAAGGTGGGGGAATTGAGGAGACAATCAAATACATCTGTCCTGCCTACCCCTCCCCTCCACCACCTACTCCACCCCGGTGGAAATTGAGCACTTCAGTAAGGACTATTGATTGGGAACACGGGAGCTCGGTGGCAGGCAGCAGATGAGACCAGACTGTGAGCAGGGCTGCCTGCAGTGTTAGGGCCGGGACTACACTGCGGATGACCGAGACTCAGGGGACCCGAGCTGAGGTGGGTGGTGTGAAAGCCAGGATGTGTTAACCTCGGGGCCTTAGGTCACAGACACGGAGGGCAAAGAGGAAGGCAGCAAAAGGCTTTAAATGAATCCAATAGGGATAGCAACCCAACATGTTTTAGATGCAGACCTGGTTGGGTTTGTCATCCTGGACCACCATGAGAAGCGTGGTCCAGTTACACTAGTCAAATGTGGCTGTCCTTCGGTTTTTTAACAAGTTATAAGACCAAAACATAACAACTATACATTCAAAACACACATACACACAAATTAGCGTCCTTTCGGAATTTTGGGCTTTTGGTGAAGGAGTATTGTAGTGAATGCTCAGCGCACATGTATCCAGTCCACATTATATCAGAGAGGGGAAATGCTGTAGCCTTAAACACCTACACACATCCAAAAACACACAGGCTGTCCACTCGGGCACCCTTTGGGAAAGCAGGGTGAATCTAATAGGGATAGAAACCAAGTTTTGTAGATGCAGACTTGGTTGGGTTTGTGCTTCATCCATGGACCACCAGGAGAGGCCTTCTCCATTTACACCAGTCATATGTGGCTGTCCTTCTGTTTTTTAAAGACAAAACTACTACACTAAAGAGTCCTCTCCTAGGTTGCATAATTATAATCTAAACTGATTTCTATGCTGACTGTTCAGGACTGGGGATTGTGTACGTGTGTGTGCTCTTTGCTGTATCACTTCCTGCGACAGTAGTGAAGGCATGTGTGCAGACAGGCCCTACATCATCTTAAGTGGCTCTTTAGGTGCAGACAGAGATTAATGATGGCCAAGCAGCCAGTCCAGCTGGGGGACCGAGGAGCAAACGGACAAAACGCACACATACACATGAGTACACAAACACACACAGTTAACTAGGATGGAGGAGAACGCTCCCAGTGGATGCAGAGGGACAGCGGCTGAGTGGGGAGAAGTGAGCTGAGGTGCACAGCAGTAGGTGGAGAAGGAGAGAAGTAACAAGGGAAAGAGTATCAGGAACATTTGGAGAGGGAGAGGACTGAATAGAGAGAGGATGGAAGAAGAAAAGTGTTGCGCAGTTGGGTGACCTTGTAGACAAACCTCTGCTGTAGAGGTGAAACAGGAGTATGCCTGTTTGGTGTGTGTGTGTGTCTGTGCCTCTGTGTGCGTATGGGTCTGTGTGTTTGTGTGCACATCTAGCACTCAGCACAACACATCGCTGCGTATTGATTGGTTTTTGCTTTTTTTTTTTATTCTTCCAAGTAAATAGCAAGGCTAAAAGGTGGGCATTTGAAAAACAACATTAATGTTTCATCATCCAATTTCACTACAGAGCTGAAAGGAGTTGGAGCAGGAGGCCAAGAGGAGATGAGGCGGTGCAGGGTGTGAGAGGCAGAGCTTGCAGAAGGCAGCAAAGAAAGGTCAATCCAGAAAGGTTTTAAGGCAGGAGGGAGCCAAAGCGAACACTGAGCACAAAATAAATATATAATCTTCAAAGCGATTATTCGATGATCTTAATGTATTAGTCATTACGTCAACTTGCACCATTTTCCCTCAAAGATCACATAAATATTGGTAGCTCATCTATCTTTGCACCCTTATTTAGCAATAGTCTGAGTTCAGCTTTGGCCGTCTGTATCTTCTGGTGTGACTCGATCCTCTCTGTGATCTTCACTCTCCTCTGACTGAAGAGACACACACAACTCAATGAAACAGCACTCGCTCTCAATTTAGACCTGAACAATTTATCCCAATGAATCAGCATTGATCTCATACAAATACTGCGCTCCCAACAGGCAAACTGCTTTCCTATTCGCTCCCCCCCAAGATCATTTCCAACATCTCTTCACTTATTCCTCTGTGTCTCCCTCTCTACCTGTTCACATGTTTTGATTTGCTTTTCTTTTCAGGGAACTAACCTGATGGGGAACTTTTCCCCAGGATCCCGCCCCAGGTGGAAAAGGATTGGCTGCAGTGTGTGCTCCTTCTGGTCGTGAGTAGTCACACCGGGGACCTCTTCACCTGGACAGAAATTAACGCCCTGTAGGGGAAATCACACAACAGATGAGCATAATGACAACTTCTATGACTCGGATGCACTTTACAGTATCATTGTACATGTATCATAATGTATTTCTAGCAGAGTATTTATGAGATTAGTGATTGATGATAAATTAAACATTTTAGGAGGAATGTATAAACCATGTTTGGTATGAAAAAATTATATTTGATTGAACTCTTTCTGCATCACTTAAAAAAACTTAAAGACAACCCTTTAAATCTTATTCTCTCAACAATTCCCGTAATGATTTTTTGCTCTCTGTTATGACGTTTCTTTATGTTTTTTTGTTTCCATGATGATCGCCCAATTTGATTATTTTAGATGTTCATCATGTGCATCAAAAAATAAAATCGAAAAACTAAATTAAATATCCAAATGCTTAAATGTATGCGTGGAGCCAGCTGCTACTCTAAGCCCCGTGCTTAATCTTATTGTTGCACGGCCTATATGCATATTGTCTTCCAATCTGTTGTGTTCATTATGCAGCTACTGTTGGTACATCATGACGGGGCTCAAGTCACTGACAAAATGAGGATTTTCTTCCTCGTGCTGCCTCCCCCGCTTCATCTCTCCACGCCTTCGCTCCCGCTCCATGACTCCATTCTGGCAGTGATCGCAGCCTGATTGAGTCACACTCACTCCTCCAGAACCCCCTGGAGATCTCCCCCCTTCCCCAACACAAACATACACACACACACTTTTTGATGAGCACAACTAATATTGAGAAAGCATTCATCTGTGAGGCACTGTGGATGCCCCCCTCTGAGATCGCTCAACAGAGCACCTAAAAAATACATATAGAAGAGAGAGAAAGAGAGAATGTGAGAAGCAGAGTCACCCCCCGCCCTGCAGACCTTCCTCTCATCCAGGCAGGCCCTGTCTTTTGAAGCCAAAAGCTTAGAAATGCAGAAAAGAACGAAAAAAATAAAATCTCATCCCAGAGGAGCAGCCAGAAAAGGCCTGCTGTGTGTCTCTCTGACTCCCTCTCATGTACCCTAGACAGAACAGCGAGAACTCCATATCTCCCCTGACATTAATGCTATGGATACAACTAGGCTGCTTTCAAACTGGAGCAGAGCAGTCGCTATTACAAGATAAGGAGCAGGAGCATCCAGCGGTGGCAGGATGGATTTTGGAAATGGAAATATCTGATGTGTATTTTTGATCCAAAACTAAATGAAACAGATATTTATATAGATTGTAGCACATCTGTATTACAATATATACCGAAAAATATCTACTTTCGATTTCATAGGAACACATTTGTTTTTTTACAGGCATCTTCAAATTGCTGTCTTAATGTGTAGCAAACATTTGTAATGCCTTCTGCTTAAAAGTAAGTGAACCATGTTCTGTGTAGCAAGCGTAGCTGTGTTAATGTCACAGGCCACAATGTAGCTCAAAAGTGAGCAGGAGCTGATGCACAGTAATCTGTTGTCAAAGTATAAAAAAACAGTGTAGGACTAACAGGCGTCTGGGAAATCGTTATTTTTCAGTTTTCAATCATCAGTCTGTGAAGTATTTAACTGCCATAGATCTCCTGCTGTATCACAGGTTACTCAGCAATACAGATACAAGGAGCCACAGTCACGACAAACTATATTTCGCAATATTAACATCCCTACAGTCCCTCAAGAGAGTTGAATGAGAGCCATTTAAGCCTGTGAAATTTCTAATTTTCCTCATGGCTGAGCTGCATGAACACAGCCAGGACAGAGCAAAGCGTCTCTCAGCTATTAACCTGTAATGTTGTTCTTTTTCACAGACACACTTATTCCGTTCTTGTTTATTTTGTTTACCATATACCATATACAAATTATATTGTATATATAAGACGAAGAAGCAGGAATCATGTTGCTGTATGTAAAAGGGCTTTGATTGGTTATTTCTGTAGGAAGACAGAATACACTAGAAACTCTATAGGGTTTTAAGGGGCTATTATTAAAAAATATTTAATAATTCATGTTATTCCTGAGAGAGATAACCTAAATAAGGAATATACATTTTCTCTGAAGCAAAACATTTATGTCAGTTTGTTTAAATTGTTCCTGTTCATAAAATGTACTATGGGTTACATGAATTGGAACGTTTACGGAATCTAATCACGAAGACAAAACGCATATTGGGGATTTAACTTTCTCCTGAACAGACACTGATCTGCACATTAATAAGGAGAACCAAACATACATGTTCATGTTTTCTCTCCACCTCTCTCTCTCATGTACACACGCACTACACCCTCCCCCCCCAATCGATAGGCAACTCACAGGCAATCAGAAGCCATTATTTGTGAAGTTCCACTTCAGTTCACATGAGTTGATAAAGGAGGCTGCTATTGATTCAGCGGCCCTGAAGGAGAGAGCAATTTAAGCGACCGATGGGGCATAAAACAAACTGGATCACAGGAAAAGCAGAGCCATGATGGGAGGACAGGAGGACATGTTTTTTTATAGAAAGAGGAGAGAAATGTAGAACAGACTACCCTGCTTCTCAAGTGTCACATTACATATTTCTCCAGATACATTTAATCAGCACAAAGTTGATGTAATTACGGCCCAAGAGATACTGCAGGCATCTGCCTTTCTATCCTTCTTTTGAGCTCCGTGGTGCCAAAAGAACAAGTCTACAGCGGGGAATGACGGTATGTAAATGACGAGGAAGAAGATCTCCACTGGAGTCAGAACAAACAAGTCATCTGGTTGATGAATGATGTAAGTTCGCTGATGTGGGGGTTCTTCATTAATATTCATTACGCTCTGATGTACACAGCAGTCAACTGATGAGCCATTTTCAAGATAACACCAACAGTGTAAGTGTTTGTGTGTTTGAGGCAGATTAGGAGAGACAAAGAGGGAGGATGTGGAAGCACAAATCAAGAACTGAGGAAACCGAGATGGGACAGAGAGGCTGTGTTAATAAACGTACCTTGTTAAACTCTTCTAATGAGTTGCTCCAGGTCCAGTAGTGTGCCTTGTATTGTCCAATACGCACAGCCATCAGCTCATTGCCACGGTAATAGAAGATCGGCCTGTAATGGATGAGAAGAGGAACAAATGCTCAGATTTGTTTTGTTCCACGTTGAGTTTGAACTTTGAACTTGTGATTTAAGAAACAAAGACATTTCGTCTTGGAAAACTTTGAGTTTTTTTTTACCCCTTCTTTAAATGTTTTTATCTTCCAGGAATATGAGCTTTCTAATCACCTAAAAATCCCCAAAATCTAACATAGGCTTTCTAATGTTTACCGGGTTTGGTGTTAAACGTGTTCAGCATTTTAGTGTCGGACAGTAGCATTAGTACTTTTTAATAAGCAATTTGAGGTTGACAGGAAGGGCATTCGTTTTTCAATTCAGAAAAAGGATTTTCCCTAGATGATAACTAAAGGAAAGGTTACAACAATGCTCTCACTCAGGCACGTGACATTTATTATAAAAGGGTTTAAAATATCTTTGTTTCTCAAAAATGGGGAACTGCTGTAACAGTGTGTGTGTACTGGCCTGTTTCCCTGTTTGTGGGGCTGGTTTAGGAGGACCGGTGTCAGGTCCAGTCCATCCAGGGCTCTGTCATCAGGAGGGCTGAGGCCGGCCAGAGCCAGACTGGTGGGGAACAGGTCCATCACACTGGCCAACTGGAAATTCACCTGGAATAAAAGACAATATTATCAAAAACAAAAATCCCTGTGTGTTTCTGTTGCACACAAGAAAATACTTTAAGAAATGAGGACTGGCCAAGTGTCCTCTCAAGGACTTAAACTCACGTTGCTCCTTGGTTGTCACACACACACACACACACACACACACACACACACACACACACACACACACACACACACACACACACAAGCTCCTTAGCACTGAAATGAATTCCCCTTTCTTCTGTATCCACAGAACCAGCCACAGAAAAGGCTTTGCAATGCATTCCATGATCTATCTGCTCATCCAGACACTTCCTCTCTCTCACACAAACACTAACAGATTTAGCCCTTCACTTCATTTTTTTTAAAGTCCCCCTCACACAGTCACACAGAAACCATTAAAGAAGACAGGACAAAAGGGCATAAGAAAAAGCAAAAGTGACAGTTAGTTGGTAATAACTTGCATGACCAAGAAAGCTACACTTTCAGCCTGTTCTGACAGAGGAATATATTCCCGGAGTTGCCATCTTTTGTTTCATCTTTTATTAGCCCTTTATTGCAGTCATGGCTGAACTTCGTTCTTTCTTCACCCTTTGTTCTTTACTTTTTTAACTGACTCATCACTCTCTATTAATGTCTCATTCATTTCTGTCTGTGTTGTGAGGGGGGCTGTTGGTTATCTTGGGAGGCAGAGCTTCTATCCCGGTCTCTGCCACTCTGCCTGTGTGTCTGCTGCCTGATAAAACACAACAAAAGGGATTGTGACACTCGACGACGTTGTGTGGCCGACACCCCCCCACCCGCCTCCACATCTTTGTTCCTGCAGCACCCACCCCTCATCGCCCTAGCCACC